TCACTGCGTTGCCGAGCCGAGGGCTTTCTCTCTACCGTCACTGATTAGCATTCCCGATTGACTGACATGTCCCACTGGCTGCCTAACAGCCGGCTTTAGGAGATGAGGTTAAATTGTGGCTACCAACAAATTGCATGCTTGAGTTCCTCTGCACCCCTCTGCTATCATCCAGTGTAATGTGAGCACACCAGGCAGATCCCTCTGCAGATCCTTCTCCTCCCCTGCACAACAGCTCCCCCACACAAAGCCACAGAGACCTCTTTCCACATCCCTCGCCACCAGTCTGGCCTCTAAAGTGGTGATGGGCATTACCGTGGCTGAGCCTCTGTGGCTTCCCATAGCGTCCTGCAAAGTGCTTTGTGTTCCAACTGCTGCTACACACACTACACACCCCCAGCACCTCCTGCCACACACTCTGCACCCAATCACTTCTGCTAAAACGCACAGCGGAAATGCCTTAATAAACACAAATCTTAATGAAATCACCTGATTTAATAATATAATACCTGAGATTTACCGACAACATCACACAAAAGCATTATGAAAATACACACAGCTGACTACTAATCCTTTTACGGATGTAGCCGTAGTAAAAAATTTATAATAGCACTCTTCACACAGACAACAGTTAATTTAGAAATCACTCAAAGAAGCTGTTTAAGGGAAGCGAGAGGGGAAAACACAGAGAATCCAAGATGTGGCTAGTGATGCAAATAAATACAGCCCAACAGGTCTTTTAATGGGTCTAAATGTGTCGGGTGGGGGGCACAGTTAGCAAACCATGAGATGACAGATGATGCATCCTAGTATGCTGCTGGGACAGGCCGAGCCATGTTGACATAGAACCCAATACTTCCTTACAGAGGAACGGGGCCAGCTTCAGCTAGCTCCTTGCCGAGCACTAAAAATCCCAGCAAGCTGAAGCAATATTATCCGGCTTTGTGTTTCTAACATTAGATTTGTCTCTCTGTAGAGGTCCTCTTTTATTTATCCAAGAGCAGTGGCTAAAGACACATTTTTATCCTTTTTAGGGAGAATTAAAAAAAATATAAAATTAAAAAAAGTATAGCTGAAAGTTAAAAAGTCCTCCACAAAGGAACGTACACCCACAGACCTGCCTACAGAGCTGTCTCTGAAATACTTCGGCAGGATTGAGGACAGTCTTTAATTAACTGCAAAACTACCCAGCTGGGTTGACAACACAAAGTACATCCTGGTGTTTCTTTTTTTTTTTTTTTTTTTTTGGTTAGGGTATGAGTGTTCGCAAAGTGCCAGGCCATGCGGGAGTGTCCTAGAGTGAGTAAAACACACACACTGGGTGAGCTAACACAGAAACCCAGCCGTCAGCATCTATCCGGCACACACTGCTGCAGCGTCCCAAGCACAGCTAATTAAAAAACAACAATTTCACAGGAGGGCACTCCAAACAGTTCTAAAAAGCACCTCTCAGCACACCGGGGGATCGTCCAGCATACATGGGAGGTGAGACAGGTTCTGGGAGCTCTGCTTTTATGGCTTCATCACTGCTGTGTTTTTTACTACTCGTACTACCGTGACCTGAATATAATTTTGCTTACAGCATGTGAGTTTGAAGATTTGGAAAAATCTGCATGCTGATGTATTGGATAGGTTACAAATGAAACATTCTAAAATAACATTTTGCTAGACAGTAAAACTTTATAGAGCGTGGAAAAAAAAATCCACTGTGGAATGCAAGGTTTTTATGCATCAGCAGGACCCAAAAGCAGGCAGCATGGTGTATAATATAGTTAGTTAATGTTATGTTTTGTAGATGGAGCCCATGGCAGTTTCTAACAAGGCAGTCCATTACAGGGGTGTTGTCCAACACTTCGGTCAAGTGATAGGCCTTATTACATGCCTCCTTTCAAAGCATCTGCTTGGTTAGAGGAAAGGTCCCTCTGGGGAAAAGATCTCCTTCTTTCTAATGATGTATAATTGACCTCCGAACACCAGGGCACAACAAACTCTCTCGGAATGGTGTAATTCCACTCTACCTTTTACATACCGCCCGTCTCGTTCAAGCTTGTTCCTCCTCTACGGCTACGGCTCTCGTCCAACTGACAGCTCCGTCTATTTGCCTTCAATTTTATCAAACTTGCACTGAAATATTCTTTGCGAACGTCAGCGCTATATTGCTGTTTATATTTCTCCTCTTCTAAAATATATTCATTTGATTTTTTTTTTCCCTCTGGAAATGATGTCTGATATCTGTACATTTGAGGTCTTTTGGAACCTAAATCTTCAGCTATCAAAAATATCCCTTATTCACAAAAAAATACCTTTTTCAAATCAAAACAGGGATGATTAACACGGGTCAGCTGCATGGCGTAAAAAAGGCAAACATAAGGGGAAAAGGCTAATAAAATCCAATCTTGTTACTATACAATTGCACTGTATGGAGCGAGATGTGTTGAACTGTGTTGGTGGGAGTTTTAATAACACAGTACACAATTGTTTTCCCCCGTCTGCACTTAAACCTGTTCCAAAGGTGCGAAAAAAGACTGCTTGCCAATTCCTTGATTTATTATAGCTAGTGAGAGCTGATTACGGGGCATGAATCAGTTGCTGTAGGAATGTAATTAGGCACGTAGACCTCTGTAAGGCTAGGAGCGCTCTTCACAGCCCAAAGCAGTTTGTGGGCTGACAAATGCATCTTAAATGGGTGTCATAAAAGTCAAAAAGGTGCCAATTACATCTTTAAGTATCCCATCAATGCAAATGGAATAAACAACAACAGAAAAAAAAGGGGATACTTGTGTCGACGTAAGAAGGACCCACCCGCTAACTTGGGCTGGGAGGGGTTAAAACAAAAAAAAAAAAAAGTGGGAAGAATTAAAAGATGTGATGAATAATAGTGTGTGAGAGCAAGGACGGCGCCCAGCAGGTTGTTGTGTTTGGCTGGAGTGATTGGACTTGCCACACAAGCTCACAACATTCAAAGCAGAGAGAGGAGAAAAAAAAAAGGGGGGGAAATGGTCAGTTATAGTCCAAATATGGGTCTTGAAGAGCATATCAGAAACAAAATGCCAGGAAAGAGTATTATTTGGCAGCCAGATACATCCTGTCTGTCTCTGAATGTCTGTCTCTTAATCTCAGTCTTCTTCTTCTTTACACACACCAAAGACATTTAAAAAAAAAAAAAAAAAGAAAGAAAAGTACAAATGGACAGTGCTAAAACCAGGCATGAGAAAGAGATCCCCCCTCTCCGCCGGACTGTCTCAACTTCCAGCCACCTCTGAGCCGTGACGCCGTGACTCTGGTATCCCCTAGTTACTGCTATGAATTTTCCATTGTTATCAGCCGACTACACTCCTGTCACAAAGCTGGATGAATGGCACGCATGGCAATAGATGTAACTCTTTGTTGCTTGCAAGGTATCTAGCAGAGAGCCATAATGTGCCGGTAATCGAAGTAGAATTGTTAAAAAGGCCGGACACAAAAAGCTGAAAATTTAGTGACAAGCATGAAAAGCGCTCATGCGATGAGAAACACAGGGCACCCCAGGGTCCTCGCCGGCCAAACAGGAACCCACCTAATACTTGTAGCTTCAGTGTTTGCTCCACACTATCTGCCATCTCTGCTTATTTTAGGAAATAATTTACTAATTCAATCTGCTAATTTATCCAAGGTGAATGGCTGCCATGCTGAAATGTTTACAAGGTAGAATGTAACTATTTAATTTGTATTTTTTAAATACCACCTTTCACAAGTTTAAATTACAAAATAAAATTATTTTATATTACTATAAAACAATAATAAAGGGAGGCAATTCCTGAGTTATTTTCATTTATTTATAATTTATAGAATTATTATGAGCACCTGTAAAATGAATAATGCAGCATTTTATTCATTGTGTTGCGGTGAATTCGGCAGAGCTGCATTTAATCACACTATTTTAGGCCAGAATAAACTCTAAATGCTGCAGAGGTTTGAACATTGTGAAAGTTGCATTTTTACAGTTGAAGATTATTTCTGCGTTATTTATATTTTGTTTGTGCGTGCGCGTGACTCGCGCGTGCGCAAACGGCAGAACTTTTAATTAGGAGTTTCGCTTCGCAGGTAAAGTTTGGATTTCTGAGGAGTTCAATGCGCGTTTTATTTCTCGTTATTTCTCGTTAAATTGCTGCCATGACTGTAGAGCCGCGTGCTAAAATATATCAAATAAAATAAGATACACCAAAATTTAATGAAATTAAATCAGCAGCTACGACCGTAAATAATCTGTAACATTAATAGAATAAACAAAAATTTAAATTACACTGCAACAGCTAAATACAGAAAACACATTTCAGAGTTAAGGTTAATTTAAGGCGAGTGGTTTAAAGAATAAATGAAAACGTTCTGATCGGGTTAAAAACAAAAAAAAACTGAAACCGCGCAGTGAGTCTGTGTGAGTAAAAAAAAAACTACTGAAATGGTGGTTTCCATATTTTGTGTGAATGTGCAGCGGTTGATGGTGATGGGAAAAGGCCACATGATTCAACCAGAAAACTGAATTTGTATGACAGAGAGCGGAATAAAAAAAAAAGAAAGTCGAGGCTGCACGCCTGCGCATTCTCGGGCCTGAGTGGAATCAACGTCTTATATATTTTTTTTTGTCATAAATGCGGTGACTGCACACAGACTAAAGTGGAAATATCGTGGGCCAGTGTGACAATAACACATCCAGGTGTATGACAATAATGCACGGCCGCTAATGCTGCAGCCACTTTAAACACTCATGTAGTGCTTTATTTTACTAAATAAAAGCTGAGATTTAACTCCATTTTTTTCTGTTTTTATATTTTGCAGGCTAAGCAACGGCAACAGGTCTTTTTTTGTTTTGTAGAATTGAATCTTAAGGCTGAAGCAGTGTGAGAGAAGGCCTCTAGGTCAACCAAAGCATCACCTTCATTTTTTTTTTTTTTTAAACATCTCTGCACCACCCACCATCTAAAGAAATGCAGAAAGAGAAAGAGAGAAAGCAGAGAGAGCCTTACTGTTGGTAGTCGTGTTTGCAGTAAAGTTTCCTTTCTCTGAAGTAACAGCTGGTGGTGAGAGGCTGTTGACACACGGTGCACTGCAAACACTCTTCGTGCCATGAGGAATCGTTGACTCTCATCAAGAAGCGGTCGGAGATGGGACGCTGGCATCCTTCACACACCGATCTATGATGACATTCAGAGCCTGCAAAAGACGGCAGAGGCCCCCGTCAAGGAAAGAAAAGGAGCGAGAGAAGGCCTGGATCAAGGAGTGCAATGGGCTGAAAACCACCTCAGAACACACTGGGAGTTAAATCAAGTCCAGTAAAGTATATAATATCAGACTAAATAAAAAAAAAATAAAAGCAGGTTTTCTAATTAATTCTATGCTCTATTCAATAAGGCCTGCAGATGATGAGATCACCTCACATGTCTGCATCTTGGCATTAGAATAAAACTGCTTTTATTGCTGTTTTATTCATTTGTAAGGTGTAATCATGTTAGGGAATTTTAAAAAATAAAGCATGCATGCAAAAATATAAGGAATCACAGTGCAGTGTTTTACGCAAAGAGATTATTTTTTAAAGCTACACAGTAAAAAAAACAAAACCAAAAACCCAGAAGGACTCACCGAGCATGACTCCGAGCGTGGCTTGTCCCGATCGCAGGGGATGATCTTCAATTTTTATGCCGTCCAGCATGATGCACGTCTCGGACTGTTCTCCCGCGGAGAGGCGCTCCAGTGACACCAGACCTGTTGCAATATCCATAAGAATACGGTCAGACTTGACAAGAAAATCCACCACAAAAAAAAAAAAAAAAAGCTGGTCTGGAGAGCGGAGCGAGCGAAGGAGGCGAGGAGCTGGAAACCTGTTGAAAGCGTCTGAGCTCCGTGTGACACACAGATCGGAGGTGGAGGAAGACAAAAAAAAAAAAAAAAAAAGAAGAAGCAGGGGGAAATAAACTTATCTAGATGAACAGTGTGGAGGGGAGGTAGAAAAACACTGATGCTCGCACTAGTTAAAAGGTAAAGGGGGCAGTGTATGAGCCGGCTATATAAATCCCTGATGCGTCAGAGAAGCGTGGAGAAACAGAAAGCAAACAATAAAAACACTCTCGGAACAGTCACCTGTTATGATCAGAGGAGCGAGGAAGCTTTATCTTCTCGACCCCAAGCCGACGGGAGAGAGAGAGAGAGAGAGGGGGGAAAGAAAAAAAGCTGGTGTGAGAAGAAAAAAAAAATGTCTTCACGGAATATCAGTCTGCGGCAAAAAAAAAAAGGAAGAAGGAAAAAGAAGTAAAAGTTGACAACAAATCCAAAGATAGCAGAGTGTGTATGTAGATGTCCCGGCAGTAACTCTTTGGAAGTAACAGAGACGGTTGGTTGGTTGTGCCCCTGTCGCTGCAAAAGTCTGAGATCGAGATTGAAGCGAGTAGATCCTCCCACTCCTGCATGCATGGCTACACTTTTTTTCATTCCCCCATTCACTGCCATTGGGATGCTATTGGAGCAGAGTACAGTGCTGCTCCACGCAGTCCAATAACAACACACATGCACAGGAGAGGAACACTGTGCTGCACAAAAGTGGCCTGGCACCCAAGAGCAAATAATAATAATAATAATAATAATAATAATAATAATAATGCACTTTAATGTCATTCCAGCTTCATTAAATCGTGCGCATTCTGACAAAAATAATGGAAATTACGCAGCAGAAATTCACCTAAAAACCCTAATGCAGGATTTTTTAAAACACTGCGCATTTATGATAAATTTGCTATATTTTAGTAAGAACAAAACTGCAGATACGCTGTGTGTGTCTTTTGGAGCATCACATGCTCTTTTGTGTATTGTCTCCAGTGGAAGCTGCTGTTCTCTTTCAGCTGATGCACCTGGCGATCAGTGCAGATAACAGCGCTCTGTCCAGCTCTGAGGTGGCCTCTGCCATCCAGGGTTATCCATCTCTGGGTCAGGCATGACAAAAGAGATCAGTAATAATAGTAATAATCATAATAATAATGATGATGATGATAATAATAATAGTGGATCTCTCATGTGTTATTTTTGCAGACACACAGCTGCAGATCTCCTCTCACCGCTTGCTGGTAAATAACCGATCAGTTCACTCTTAAATCTGAACTGTGAGCCTTCGTGCAAATCAACCCCACCTTGACGCTTGGAAATTCAGAAATGCGTAATTCCAAAAAATGCATTCAGCCCGTGGCGAAATTTGTAGGCTAATAAAATTCAGAAATCCTCAGTGAGTGTGTGCGTTTTTTTTTTTTTCGTCAAGGTGTGATTAAGACGTTTGGAGAGGTGCGCAGTAATATTGCGCGGAGGCCTGTGTGAAATTATCGGGCTGCTAATGGGAGCTGCGCGCTGCTTCCCGAAGTCTCGCTGCATGAGATTGTTATCAACTTCTAGTAGTGTAACTGCAGGCCCAGACAAGGCCAAGGATATAAGAGTGGACACATGGAGCGGGCTGCTTTGCGTTTCAAGGAGAAGAGCCCAACTTCATGCTTGATTTAAAATTTTAGATTTGAAAATGAGATAAAGAGGAAAACAGCGCATGGAGGTGACTGACATGGCAGCAACTGTTTCATAGAATTATTATAATTACATCTCTAAAAAAATAAGAACTGATCTCACATGACTGAGTGTAAAAAGAAGTCTATTAGGGCGAGGACGCAAACGAACATTTTTGCATCCAAAAACTGGTTGAATTGTGCAAAATAAATAAATAAATAAATAAATCTGTGCAGCCAGCTTGTACCTTCAGTCCAGAAGGCCTGGCTGCGTGTTGTTCCTGGTATCCTTTGTGAAGCATCAAGGCGATGACCTGTAGCCCAGTTTGGAAAACAGAGAAGAGATTGTTGGCGTTGCCCTCTGCTGTTCGCTCAGAGAATCGCTGCGCACAGCCACACAAAATGCAAATAAAATGATATTTCACTTTCACTTACGGTTTTAAAAGGATCCAAGCATCACAGAAATATTAACAGAAATGTAATATAAATATTGCAATTATTCTATTTTTCTTTAGAGGGCAGTTTCCCTGTTAAAATGACTCCATACCTGCCCTCTTATGAAGTCATCCACCCCCCGACTTGGCTTTTCTTTCCTTCTATTTCCAGCTCTGCTATCAGCATGGGGTCAATTACCTCCGCCTTTGCACTATATTGGATTATCTTGCCACTAAGCAGCATTATGAGCTCACTACTATCAATACAATATAATCAATATTTTCTTTCTTTCCTTTTTTTTTTTTTAAACAAAACATATGAATCCGGCGTTACCCCCTATCCATCCATCCATCTCCCCCACCTCCCTCCCCCCTCCTCTCTCTCTCTCCATCCTCCCTCCCTCCTCCTCCTCCATTCATTCAGCAGTTATCGGTCGGGTCACTTGTGCGAATGAGGACATCAAACATTCATTCAATAAATCAATCCGCCAACTTTCAGCCTGCGGTGTTTTAATGAGCCTCTACATGACAGGCCCTCCCTCGTTTTCTACAGGGCAGAAAAGAAAAGAAAAAAAACCCCAACAACGCTGCAGCAGGTGTGCAGTACAGAAAGCAAAGGTTCCTTAAGTTAAGCATTTTTTTTTTTTTACTTAAAAGTAAGCAGAACTGTTGCACCCATCGGAAAGGTAAGAGACCGTTATAATGCGCCTTCAGAGCGACTAACACTCGGGAACAGTTTCCACAGTGACTGTGGAGGTAAAACCAAATGACAGGAAGGTTTTAAAAATTATTTTTTTTTCTTTGTGAGGGAGGAAAAAGAAAAAAAAAGAGAAAATATGATGCTAAAGTTGGATGGCACAGTTGAATATTGGGAACATTTACGCACAGCTTTTGGATGTTTTCAAGCCCAAATCGGCCGGATTTGATATTTCATTAAAAGAGGCACAAAGTTTAAAAAGAAAGAAAACAAAATACATCCACTCGTAGGTATCGTGTCTGTTTTAATTATAGTGTCATTATGGATTCATGTGATTCCAACAATTAAATAAAATTGAAGAAAAAAGTGCCACAGAAAGAATCGTGGCTGCTCAATTCCACAGTCAGTGAATTAACAGAATTATTAAACGACTTCGTTAAATTTGATCCGAAACAAACGCTTGAATCAAACTGAAATAGAAATATGTGGATAATAATTCTGCTTTAATTACATTTACACCACGCTGTTTAAAATCCACGCACAATCCATTCGTGTGTTCTTTCTTTCTAATAACTCAGTCCAGCGGTGTCAGTCAGGCCTCCTGCTCTGCTCAGAGCCGCAGGCTGCAATCAATGTATCGCAAAAATCAGAGCAAATAATATCCTCAATAGCCTTTTATTAAATTGGACGTGTGGACTGTAATAAGCGCTGCATGTAATCACCACTTTTTTATTTATTTATTTTCCACTACAGGTTTGCTTGACCTGGAAAAAAAAATAAAAAAATGTTCGCGTTTTCAATTATGCCTTAAAACAAAAGCGCCCCGATAAGCATTTTAAAATCAAATCCCTTAGTGAGAATGGGAAGAACACTTCAGCTCCTCAAAGGGGAGACTCAGCAAAGCGAAGACATAATGGCTCCCTAAATTGCAGGGCTAGAGGACTTTGATAGTTAACTCACTTTGATCTTTTAATGAGTGTTTCTAAGCTCTCCATGATGCTTTTTTAAAAGCTCAAATGAAGAAGAAGAAGAAGTAGAAAAAAAAACAGAGAGAGAGAGAGAGACTGCCTTAATCTGTTTGCTGCCGAGGTGAACATGTTAAAAACAGTCTGACATTGTGCTGCAGCAGCGCGCAATTTCTCATCCTGCACAGGACACTTTTTTTTTTTTTTTGGTCAAACAGACTGAAGCTATGTTGCTATTTTTTTTAAATAATTTTTATGTTGGTGCCGGTTTTCTTTCCTGGACGCGTCTCTAAAACCACCAGTGCGCCTTTGAGAGCGCGTCAAGCGTCTCTCTCGTCAAAAAAAGCACCGGAGCCGTCGATGATCAACACTGGAGCTCAGCTGAAGGTTTGAACGTCGGCAATACGCGATCAATCGGCTGTGATTTAATCTCTGTTAAGCCTTAATGTTTCTGCATTTCCTCGACGCTTTCATACCTTAAAATAACTAATATAATTACAGGCAGTAAACAAACAAACAAACAACAACAAACAGACATGTGATGGCCCAGGGCCCCACAGGCCTGAGGGCCCCCACATCTACCAACTCGTTTTTTATTCAGAATTACAAATCTAAGTCACAAATTGAGTCCATGCTTGTTTTTGTTTTTTTATGTTTTCAAAAAAAATATTTAAAAAAATCTCATTATATACCTGCTGAAATCTCATTTGAGCTCATTAAAATTCAAACATATAAGCTAAAGAGTGGAGTTATTGACATCCTCCTTCCCACTCACTCCCATATTCCTGCCTCTGCTCTGGAGCCCTTCTTATCTTACTGAGGCAGCCAAAAAATGATACTGCAGGATAATCCCAGCTCCCCAAGGATTAAGCCAAAGTATAATACTAGCACTGTCAAGCCATGGCTAGATTTGTTTATGTTATGATTTATTGGATTCAGCCCTTTTTTTTTTTTCTCCTCCTCTCCTTTCCACTGACAAATTTATTGAGTTCTTGACAAATGGCCTGACAGGCCTCTGTGTGACAGCGAGCTGACATACAAGTTTGAGATGGGAGGACTGAAATGTGTTTACCTGAGTTTGTAGCTCACCTTTTTGTTAATGCACGAGCTGGAAGGTAATTAACATGAGATCTAATTATGTAAACATATTTCCAAACACTGATTGGTTATAATATTTTAACAAAATGAGTATGTGTTGGATGCATAGAATTGTTTAACCTAGAAAAGTAGAAAAGATAGATAGATAGATAGATAGATAGATAGATAGATAGATAGATAGATAGATAGATAGATAGATAGATAGATAGATAGATAGATAGACTTTAAGGAAAACTTAGAAAAAGATTAGGACATCTTAAAACCACTTCATGACTTCAAAAGTAAACACTGACAATTTCACTGCTAACTTTTGCATCAATAATGAACTAAGCTGCTCTAATTCAGATGCATTATTGCTGAGTTAGAAGTTACAGATATAAAACATAATTTTTATTACCTGAAGCCTCTTTTTTAACAACTGTATGGAGATCTATTAACGCTTATGACTTTTAAAATTCAAGCACAAGGGCTTTGTAATAACAGTCATATCAACAACATCCTGTGAAAAGTGACCTGATGGCT